TTCTTTCTTTTATATATATATATATATATATATATATATATATATATATATATAAAATTTATCATTAATATACTTATTTATATTTAATATTTTGTAATTCATTAATAAATACTTTCATTAAATAAAAATAGTTAACAATACTTTTATTAGAAAAAAAATACTTAAACCACTCTTATTTGAAATAGTTATTCTAATTTAATATATACGGAATATTTTTATTGTTAGTATTAAATACTAATATTAATAATTAATATTTATTAATTTTCATTTGTTATTATAGTTATATATTTATTGTTTATTATTAATATACTAATTTACATAATCAGTAATAACTTATAAATGTTAATGGTAATATTATCATCATGTATTTATTAATTTATAATTTTAATATTATATTTATTAATTTTACGTTTAAATATATTTTTGTCTTTAAGTATTGTAGTTGTAAAATTTTAGTTCTCAAATTTTAGTTGAGCAATTTTTGTTTCTAGTTGTTTAATTTTGGTCATTTAAATTTTAATTGAAAATTTTTATTTCATTGTAGATGAATAATTTTAGTTACTCAAGTATCGTAATTATACAATTTTTAACCTATTTAAGTTATATATATTATTAATTTTAGTAATAATAAATACATATAATCTAATAGATGAATTAAAATTATAATATATAACTTAAATAGGTAAGAAAATTATATAATATTTATTAGTTACCTGTTGAAAGGCGAAGTTTGTTTAATTAAAATTTAATAATTAAAATAACTTAATTATAATACTTAATGAATTAAAAGTACACAATTAGAATCCTGAGATCAAAATTACACAATACTTGAAAGATAAAAACATAATTAAATCTTAATTTTAATTAATAAAAAAAATTAAAAATAAAAGAAAAAAACTTAGTCCCTGAATTTTATTTTATTTTTTTGGAAAATAAATATTACCATCTTTAAATTTATTCCAATTCATCCTTACACTCAATTTTATTAGCTAATAGACACTCGACTTTAATCAGTTATAATTGTTCTTTAAATTTTGTTGTTTTTAAAAATAAACACTTTGATTTGAATTTTATCTCAATTAATTTTTAATATTTATCCCTTATTAAAACTAGTCATATATTATATTAGGATTAAACTGCTAAAAAAAGGAAATATCATTTATTTATTATTATTATTATTTTATTTTGAATCACTTTTATATATCACTTTGCTATATATTAAAATATCATAAAACTTAAAATTAAAAAATCTAATAAGTATGTTTTCATTATTCTCTTTTTTCTTCTAAATTCATATTTTTGATATATTTGAAAAATTGCAACAAAAGAAAAAAAAAATTAATGAATGATTCTTATTTAAGATAAACACTTTAACTCTAAATTGATAAAAAAAATGATATATAATAAATATTAATTAGAATGAAATTAAAGTTGAAATTTTTTTTAATTAAACAAAGTTCAAGGTATTTTATTGCACTCTCAAAAAAAGGTATTTTATTGCAAAAGAAATAACATTTAAATATTAATCGAAATAAAATTAAAATTTATAATGTGTATGTACAAATCAACCTTTATATAATTAAAAAAAAAAGATAATTACCACAAAAAATTAACATCCATATATTAAACATAAATGACTATTTTTTTAAGAGTGCTTTTAAGAACTGTTTTTTTTTTCCAATAACACAGCCTTTTTAGTTATTTTTTTTTTACTTTTCTAATTTAATTTTTTTATTTTTCATATTTATTTATAAATTATAATTTAATATTTATAATTAGATTATCGATAATTAAAAATAAATTTATTCACAATATAAGTTATATTAAATAAAAATATAATTAATAATTTTATATATTAAAAAATATCTATTTATACAAATTTT